TGACAAGGCATTGTTTCGGATGCTTCCTCTGTGCGTAATTGTCTTGGAATCTTTTGTAACTCTTTCATACCAAAAGTGACAGCATTGGCTTGAAGTGCCACTTCTTTTGTGGAAGGACTATTTTTCCTTCTGTGGTTGTTCATCTCATGTTTGATATTATTCTCTGTGTAGGAACTTCTTAACTATGGTTACTTACTGTATTTTCAAAAGATGCAAGATAAGAAAAATATCATGCTGACTGTTTATTTCCTCCTCTTCTATGTAGTTCCTATTGGTGCTTCCTCATCAAGTCACTCTAGCTTATTCCAAGATTCGCTGTATTTAAAAATGTAAAATCAAAATCTCACTGTGGAGTCCATGTATCCATGTTGCCTGCTTGTGATGTCTTTTGTGGAAGATGCGCGGGTATCTGGGCTCATTAGGAATGCTCTAGAGGTCTGTTCTTTCTCGGGTGAGAAATTAACTCACACCACACTAACTACTGGACACTGGTGTTTTTGTAGGAGGATTCCTAAAGTTAGAATCAACTTAATGAAAATATTGAACTTCAATAATTTCAGCTTAGGACAAAGTTCAGCACTTTAAATTGCTTCTACAGTAGTAACTTACACTGACAGACTGGAATACTAATTTTCTCATGGCTTAGATGTTTCGTAATATTAACTCTTATTGGCTAGGAATCATTAAAACTTAAAGGTCATATTTTACTCACAAATTGTTATATTTAATATTGCTTCTTGCTTATCTCAAGTGGGCTATATCTGGTGCCTTTAAACAATTACACATTAAGAATCAGAATAAAAGCATAATAACTTTATATACACTTGGCAGATTAGTTCCTCTTGTTACTCTTGTCGAGCTGCATTTGGATGGAAATTACTTTTCTTTTGAGAGTTTAATATATCCCTAAAATTTTTTGTTTTAAACATTCATACTGTGCTAATGCACTTAGGAAACTAGCAGGCATTACACTTTATTTATAGCTAATTAACTGAACTGATTGCTTCTGGGTTGCTATGTTTCAAAAGATTATTAGAGCTGGTAAACCTCACCTGATAATTCCCCTCTGCCCCCAGTTTCTAGAGTTTGTAGGAAGTGAATAAGTCCTCTTGCTACACTTAAAACTGAGTGATCACAGGATTGAGCTGCTGAAATTATATTCTTTCTTAAGAAGCAGTGGAGATGGAAGAAGCTGGTTTACCACTTAAGGAAGTAATATTTCCAAGCGCTTAGCTTGGATCTGTTTGCCATTTTTTATTGTTGGCAGTCTATATATCCTGCTTGAGTGTTTTTTCACATAAATTACTTTATCCCATTATAGTGTATGTAGGCATAAATATCAGCTATCAGATTTCAAATTGCGCATTAAAACTACTGTAATTTAAGTTATTTTGTTAAATGACTTTGAATGTAGTTTGAATCTAAACTATAAGATTTAATAAACAGGATAGAAAAAAACCCAAACAAACAGAAAAACCCACAAAAAACAAAACCCCCAACCAATCTCAAACGCATCTTAAGACCTCTGTCATATGCAAGCTCCATGGTTTGTCTTTTGGCTCTATAGAAAGCTACCTTTATGAGGCTGAGAAACTTAAGTAGTGCTGGAATGTACCAGGTACATGTATAAGATCTGCATTTTTCTTGTGAAGCTGCTCACGCTGTGCTGTTGCCTGGCCGTAGGGTTGATGACCTACCTGAGGGCTTGGAGCTGATTATTGGAATGGCTGTGTATCCCCCTCTTTTGGATCATATTTTTTTCCCAGATTAGACCTAGAATCACCACAGACTAGTTGTTCTTTTGAAGTTCTTATCTCTTTGTAATTGTGTTTTTGCTGCCGTTTCCTTCTTCCTCATTTCAAGAACTCTTTGTACGTGATACTCGGAAATAAAGTGGGTATCCAGTTTTGGCCTGCAAATTTCTGAGGTTTCTTTGTTACCTTTTGTAGAAGATAATGATCTTCACTGCTTTTTCTTCTTGGATGAATCTCATGTCGTCTTGGATCTGAAGGCAGTCAAGCTCAAACTTGTTGGAGCTGATGTTTTCAAGTAAGGGAGTTGCCCTCAGTTTTTCCAAGGTTTGTGATTCATCAAGGACCTGATAGACTAGGACAGCATGCGGTACCTCTTTACTTCTTAAGGTGATTAGCTTGCTGATCAGGAGAATCTCCATAAAACGTCATGTGGAATCACATAATTATTTGTCATAATAAGCAAAATAAAAGTCTACTATTACTCAACACTGGATTACAGAATTTTAAGAATCTCTTTGGTTTCCATATCCACCTGCTTCCTGTGTATTGAATACGTTCATTTCTGTTAGTGGCAAACTTGAAGAGATAACAAGGCGTGGAACTTGGGAGTGCCAAGATGTATTGCATACAAACATGATGATCTTTGCCGAGTCCTATGTCTGACAGCTTTTGGTAACCTTACCAATTCAAAGGTATTTTACTTGCGTGCAAGTTTAACTACTTGAGTGTACCTGTGTTGGATTTGTCAGGTATCTCGAGGTTGCGATATTTCTTGTCTACCTGCCATGACCTTCCTGAGGAACTTCATGAACTCAGATGGAGAAAGTCATCCAAATCATTTACAGATCAGGACTGCATTCTCACTAAACCTCTCAATTTGAGTGTTGTGGAACTTGTCCATGTTCCTGCCACTTCTGAAAGGGTGTTGAAATCAAATTCTAATAGGCAGTACTTACTAAATGGTTAGAAGGTTGGCAAGCTATTCTATTGTGGAGTTGGTGCACGAGGCACAAAAGTTTGTTGTTGGTGGTTTTTTGTGCGTTGTTCTTTTTAAACACAAAATAATATGTAAAATCACCTGAGCAGTGTTAAAATGTCATCAAAATCTGTTTGTTAATTCTTCAGAGTGCTTGGCATGTGCCTTCTCTTTAGTGTCTCAAGATGCCTTTGTGGGTATGTGATGTGATGCAGCCTTTCTGATTACTTTGAGAGTTGATGCCTAAGGATAACAGGGAGAGGTAGCCCTTTTAGAAGTCCTGGAGTGGCGTGAGCAGTTTAGTATCTGAACCTAGCATGCCTATTGGTACGGTTTCCATTCCTTTGAGACATCCAGATCATTGCTTCTGCCATGGTTTTGGACTGACTCTTGTATTTTGAAAACGTTTAAAAATGACTGGGATACTTTCATACCAAGCGTTCAGCATAGAAACCACTGAAGTACTCTTTCTGAGTTTTGTGACATCTTCAAGTTCATTCCTTAAATTTTCTTGGATTTCCAGCTTTGCCTGTCTTCTGATCTTGCTCTTTTTCCTCTACCTCCTGTCTTGTGGTGTAAAGTTACCAAACTTAGGAGAGATATAATAGAAAGGTCCAACACTTTCTGCTGATACTCAGCTGTGTAAAACTGTGCTGAGTAGGCAGATTCCTGTTAAGTAATGGCTCACTGGACAAGTCAAGGGGTTTCCTGACTCTGCCTGTGTTAAGAGATACACAGAACTGCAGTTCAGTGTTCATCTGCTTTCAGTGCTGCTCCCTTGCTGGAGCTCCAAGATACTAGCCAAACTTGAGAAGTTAGCCTCCATTTGCTTAAAATTCCTAGAGCACTCTTCTGTGGTTGGGGAACTGTATGCAATGGGAGAGTGAGTCACATGGCGAAATACTGCAGGAAGAACAGGCAATTACCTTTTACTAATTGAAGTTTATAAAGCTTTTGTTTGTGCCAGTGCAGATACTGCCTGCCTTGGCTAAGAAGCTTTTTTATAACTCTAAAGCAGTGAGTTTAATACTTGGGACAACTGCTTATTACAGTGGAATTTGCATGTTCAGTGGGTCCGTAAGGGCTTCATGCAGAGGCCAGGGTCAGTCTTAAAGAGCAAGGCTACTCTAAATCTCTTAAAATTTGCAGATAGCAGGTGGAAGAGTGGTAAGAAAATATGCTAACTTAAAGCAACTGCTAAAGCTCCCACATTTTTTTGAATGAATTATGGGCTTAGTTAGCCAGTGATTAACTTAGCAATTTTGCCACTGCTAACACTATAATCAATCTAGTTTTGTTTTTTGTTCATAAAGAATTATCTGAATTTGGAGTGTTTTTGTTCTCTGTTCTTACAAAGGTCCCTACAACTAGAAAGTTTCCTAGAAATGTGTCACCTTGGTTTTCTGAAACTGGTCATAAGCTGCTAGCTTGCTTTTGAATTATCTGGATGTTAATATATGTTCAATATCTTCTTATGAAGTAGGAAAAATCTTAAAAAGGTGGTAATGTTTTTTAGGATACAGTAGCAATTTGAACAACAAGGTTGCAAACCACACATTTTCATAGAACTTCTTAGTGTGTTGCAAGGGGTGTCCTCTTTCCAAAATGCTTCCCTTGTTCCTTTACCATAGTATGAATGCCTTTAATATATTTAACCTTGCAGTAACTCTCAGACAGGAAAATGCTTTTGTTTCAGCTTTATTCCTGGGATTTTGCCATACAGATGTTTAGGTGTCCTGCTGATATTCACAAGAGGAAGCCTATGGTGAAGAGGAGAGTGAAAGCCCGGTCTCTGGAGACTGGTCATAATTCCTTGTTACTTTTTGTTTTTCCTCCCCTCTTTGCCCCCTCAGCTTGTCTTTTCCTGCACCCAGTAGAATATTCAGTTAAATACTTTATCAACATTTCATTTCCCAGCCAGTAGTGTTTTTTTTTTTTCTTCTAGAAGTCTAGTGAATATATGGGCACAAAGTACAGGTATATCTAGTTTTCATCAATAATGAGACTTCTTCATGTCTGGTGTGCATGTGAGATAGGTCGGGTTTTGCTTACTTGAATAAGCTGGGATGTAATGGAATCCCAGAGCTCTGGGGTATTTATCTGTGGGCTGTGGAAACTGTGCCCTGAAGCACTACTCAGTCCTGTAGGTGCAGCACGGAGATGCGGAAGACTGCTTGATAAGCCTTCATGGAAATAGTTAATTCTATAGATTAAGCCCTCAGTACCTCAGCATAATTTACCAGGGTTTGTTTTTCTTTCTGGATTTACAGAGATATGAAAAATGCTGTAATTGGAAACAACAAACAAAAAGCCAACTTGATTGTTTTGGGAGCAGTTCCAAGGTATGTCCTTTGCTACTCTCCTTTTCACTGATTCACAACAGGTCTGGAATAATGATCCTTAGATCACAGGCACTATTTTGTTTTAACTTTGATTGTAGTTGACTGCATACTTTCTTTAATGTAACTGAGACAGACTTGAAATATCCGTTAAACTCATGTACTAGAGAACAGGCTGTTGAGTAATGCTTTTAATTTAGACTTCCATATAATTCTCTAAAGTAGTCTTCGTGATTTTTATTAAACTTTATCAGTTGAGGAATGAAATCTAATTTCTGACATTGATATTAATGATGGATGAAAGTGATTGTATTTTAATAATGTTCTTCAGCCCATGGCCTGGTGAGTTCCCAAATGAAAATGTGTAAGGTTATGTTAAAAATATAATTTAAAAATATTGAAAAGTATCTGAGATAATTTGCTTGTCTTCTCCACCTGCTTCAGAGGATTAAAAACCATTGATCATAGTTTGTTGCTGAATTACTGCTTCAGCTCATGTTATTTTCTGCATCCTGATTCCACTAGTACAAATTTAACAGGTAACTTTAGCTACTGGATTGCTCACTACGGCTATCATTTCACCCATCTTCTCCTCCAGCTTTCTTTCAGCCACAATTTGCAGCAATGGGGAAGGAAAGCATTGAGCACTGCATTACTTGTGCTTACAGTGTGGGACCCACCTATGATCTTTTAGCTTAAATGGTAACTAGGTCCCAAACTGTCCTGCCTGAGAGAGCTTCTTCTGGCTTGTCAAAAAAAGCATTTTATTTGCAGGGAATATCTTCTAATTCACAGATTGAGTTTGTGTCAAGGCTAGTCCTTTAAATTCACTAGGGGTTAGCTGTGAGGAACTCCCCACTACAAAACCTGCGGAATTATCTTCCATTTTGACCAAATATCAACAGGTGAAGAGAAGACTTCATATGAGACAAAAAGATCAAAGTGGACATTTGTTGAAGATCATGCAAAGTTTAAGGAATTTTTTTCAGCAACAGACCCTAAGCGATTCTTGTGACTACCATTGGTTCTTGTGTTCCCATTTTAAAAGCAACAGAAGATCTCCAACTTCCAAATCTAGAATCTGCCTGTTCTTAAATTTCGTAGGACTTCATGCTCCTTCAATTACCCTGCTTTCTGTTGTTACTTGTTCTGTGCCCAGTAATGAAAATTCATGTTTTTTTCCTGTTGTTAATGCCTTCTGGCTGTCCAAGTAAATTATATGGTTAACTTATAACTGCAAATAAATGACTGGGTTTGGAAAATCTTAAAAGATAAACTGTCGTGCTTGTTCTCACTTCAGTACAAGTTACTGTCAAATGAGAGGAAATCTAATGTCAAGGCTTTTCAGACTAGAGGTGTAGGTGAAGGTAAATTGGCTGGCTCATTGGCAATGCTCACTGGCTAAAACTTAAGTGGCATCATCTACCCACAGGTGCCTTTCTGAAGGCTTTAGAATTTCCTCAAGATGTTGCAGACAGACTTAAATAGTTTATACACCATTTGGATTTGAGAACTCCTCCTGTTCTCTCTAACAAGGTGGTGGGAATTCACTGTTGTTTTTGACATGCCTTCTAATTCATGAAAAGGCTGCTGAAGCTGTTATGAGTACTGGAACCTTTGGAATTCCAGTCTGCACAGTCAAACCTTTCCCCAATAAGAATAGGAGTAAGCAAGCTAGCATTCTTTGCTTTAAGTCTCCTCTGCAAAGTTAACAAGGAGAACAGATTTCTTTTCACAGAGTTAGATTGCAGTCTCCCAAGGGAAGTTGATTCTTTTCTATAATGGCGTGGGGATTGTTAGAATTCTGCTGCTGCTTTGTCCTGTGGTGCAACTTCTTGTTTACCCATTTCTTGCTTCTCTCTGCTTCCCCAAGTATTCCTTCAGCAAGCTTTCCAAAGAAACCCTTTAGACCCAAAGAACCCCTTCAGATTTCTATCACTTAGTGGAAAAGAAAACGGCGTGTTCACATATTAGAACAGACTCTTATGAGGTTTGGAAACAAGTCTAGGAAGTATCTTTTGTTTGAAATTAGGCCAAATGCTACTGGTATGTCTGAAGTATCCTCATTATTTTAAAATATTGGACTGCTACTTGGTTGGAAAAATGTACAGTCCTTTGAAGATCTCCATACAGGAAGAAAATGCTGGGGAATAATGGCTGAATCACTGTCATTTCTAGGTTAGTGGCCCCCTGAGTCCATGAGCTGACTGCTTAGTGGTATCATCTGTAGAAAGGCAGATATAGATATACCTTAATTTTTTTTTTGTCCCTTTGAAATTCAGTCTGACCTATGGTCACTTCTTGACCATTTGTGGGTGCTAAGAAAAACAAAGTCAGTTGAAGAAAGCTTACAGAATTGCCATGTCTGGATGTAAGAACTAAGAAGTGTTAAGAACTGTACAAATGTGTACAAAAGCATAGTCCTAGATGTTAAGCATATAAATGTAGCCAGCCTGTATGTTTCTTAAGAAACAATTTTCTATATCCTTTCTTCTCTACAGGATGAGAGCTGTTCCTTCACACTCTCATGAAATGCTGGCACCACTGTCAGGACTGCGGAAATTTTACATTTTCAAACTCAGACTTTTTAGTAGCAGTCCCAGAAAAATAACATTTCTAAAGTACAGGGTTGGGGGAAAGGTATTTTAATGCCATAATAAGTTATTTCAGTGGTGGGCTGACTTAAAACAAAAGTCAGCCTTGGCCTAAAAGTAGTTTACTACTAGTACTGTCCTTCAATTTTCTAGTGTGGGTTTTTTTCTCTTCCACCCCACGTAAGTGCTAGCAGAGAATGGGGAAGTCTGTATTAATTACTGGTGTGCTCCTTCACTTGACAGTTTTGAAAGAACAAATAGTGCAGCTCTTGTGCCTATCAGCATGTCAGACACCTCTTCAGAGTCCAAGTTCAGTATTTAAAGCTTTTTGTTACTTGCTCTTGCCTCCTAAATCTTAAAAAGGAAAATGATTGAGTCCTCATTTCAAATGGGATAAATTGTTCATTTCTAACTCATCTTCATAGGACTTTTGACTTAACAAAACAATGTTCATTTAGTAGCAGTTAGTCTGTAGTGCTGTTGGCTTCCTATCCTCTGAGTTGTAATTGAAGCCTCTATTGTAAAGTCCACCAGAAAGGGGCTAGAAAAATGTATGCTGTGGAGTCCAGGCTGACAATCATATTGTCATCATATTCATTGCCACTTAATGACACCTAAGGCACAGGGGAACTAAAGACTCTCATTCAAGCGGTTACCAGGACTGCCCAGGTATCTTGCCATTCCTTGCCATAACTACAGAAGCGGAGTAGTCTTTCCCTCCCCACTCTGCAGTACCTTGTGGCTTCCTTTATACAGTTCCCCACAAATTCCACATCAGCTATGTTTTAAGGCCACTGAGTTAGTGGGTAGGTTACTTTCTGTTGTAGGCAAAAGTTACGCTCTTAAGCTCTTTCTGAATTCTGCAGTCAACAGTCTAAAGCCTCTGGCTTACAGAGATGGAATTGGAAAAGAAAAACATTCAGTGAAATGAACATGCGAGTTCTTTAACTCTGCTTTGCAACTTTGTGGACCACTTTCTGTACCCTGAAAGATACGGCATTCAGTGGTTTGTAATCCAGTCAAAAGCTGAGCCCTTCAAGCCTTTGACACATTTCTTCTCTTCCCCTTCCTTCGTCTGGTGGATGGTAGAGTGTAGAGAAGACAGTGTTAAATTCCAGTCATGACAGCATAGCTTTGTCTTCCTGTACATTGTGGTTACCTGCTAAAGCTCTGACCTGTGCTGTTTTGTCAAAAATGTTAGCTGAATCAAGTTATTGCTTATATAATCATTACTGAGAGTTTAATACTTAAAGTCTAATCCACTTCAGATCTAGTTTTTCATTAAGAGCTTCAGTTATTCCTCTGCTCCAAAATGAATACAGAGTTTTTAAAATCAAATCTTAAACCAAGACCTTTAACATAAACACTTAAGTCATTCTTGTCACTTCCCATAACTTCCAGCTGATTGTTCTCCAGAGTCTTAAGGCATAAAGTCAGTTGTTTGGAGCTGTAACATGGTGGTGTACTTCTTCCCAAAGCTGAAAGTCTATCTCTAGGTAGGTGCACTTCAGAGTACTTCATATAGTTAATTTTCACCTTTCCCCACGTCTTTTATTAGGGATTCTGTTTAACTGCTGGGGAAGTTTATTTATTTATTTATTTATTTCATTTCTTTGGAGCACATTTTAAATGATATGTAGAAAAGCTGATGAACTTTTATCCATTCCATCATTTGACATTTGAGTTCTACGAAGCATGCTGTTAGGTTGTCTGTGGAAGTGAAAACTAGTAAGAATTTGTTGGGGTTTTAACTTGTTTCTAGTGCCATGGACACCCATGAAATGTTATGTTTTAATTTATTGTTAAACATAATCAAATTCCTTCAGGCAGTGTTCTTTTAGAGTTTGCCAGAAAATAAGACTGCTGCTTTGACAACTGTGTAACTACTAATAAGATGAGAAGATATGTTTATTAACCGGAAGGTTCTGTTACATCCCGAAGTCTGTCAGCTAAGGAAAAGGATTTTATATAGGCTAGTGTCTACATTAAACATCAGAAAAGTATCTGTAAAGAAGAGTTTAGTGTGCAGTATTGGCTGGCAAATACTGGAAAAATTAAAACTGACATACTGATAAGTACGTAGAGGAATTTGCATATTTGTGATAGTGTTTGAAACGTTTGAGTGGTGTTCCTTTTGTTTCGAGGTTTAAAAAGAAAACTTAGGCAGGATGGCTTTGTGTATCCTGATCAATTCTTTTTTTAAATGCGTGGTATTACAAATGCGTAGATGACCCATGGTGTTGATACTTGATCCTGCATGGAGCTTAGCAGAAGAGCACCCTTACATATTGAATGCTTTCATCCTGCGATGCTGGCTATTGTGAGAGAGTTGCAGGACTGCAGGGTGAAAAACCACTCTGTTGCTTTCAGCTTTTCTTGGAGTTACTTAGATGAATGTCAAATAATGTT